GAAGAGGTGTAATTATTGGTTGCAGAGTTTCTTTTATCAATGTCTCTGCAGCTTGTTTATCCATTTTAAGTAATCCATGTTTTCGTCTAAAAGCATCACTTGCTTTTGCTATTTTACGGAGTGTTTCTTGCTCCTTTCGATACATGTTTTCATCTTGATAACATAAACTATACTAATTTAAAATAAAATAAATATTTATAGTGTAATAAGGCAATAAAATTCCTTCCTATATCTTTCGTCATTAAAATTCCTATCTTTATCAATAACGACAAATCCATATTTATCAGATTTCCAACATTCTGAACATAAATTACGAAATTGTTAATAAGACATGTCTGTATTAACATGATCTTCCTAGATATGTTTAAAATTTTTTTCATCTTGTCTAAAAAGCACCGGTAAATTTACATTATCTCGGGCTAGATGTTTTGGAATACGAGCATACGTTTGACACAAGTCGAATCTGTCAACATTTACATGTCTACCAGTCTTGGGTAAATTACTTTCTTTTAAGTAACTCGTTACATTTAAGTTACTTAATGAAAAAAAGTAACTAGTTACTGTTACAGTTACTTTTATAAAAAAGTAACTCATTACAGTTACAGTTACTTTTATAAAAAAGTAACTCGTTACAGTTACAGTTACTTACAAAGTAACTTAAGTTACATTTCAAGTTACTGAAAAATTATTTTCAAATTTGTCTTATCGAAATTCAATTTTTTTATCAAATGGGAATCAAATTAAAATGTGAAATACAATTGTAATACATATATTTATTCAAATTCTTCACATAGATTTGCATTCATTTTAATAAAAGCATCATCTATTCTTTCCCCTAAAGTTTTACGTGTAAAATTTTTAAAATTTCCTGATAATCCAAGTAACACTAGGTCTTTAAAAGATGATTTTTCTACAACACTTCTATTACATAACCCATAATTTTTTTATCCAATATTTTTGAGTAACTAGCTTTGAATCGGAAGTCTAGTTTTCCAAAAGAGTTTGCTTCTTATTTGACTGTGATGAAGAATCTGAGAATTGTTCTTCGAATTTTCTCTTTCTTTTTCTTTCGCTATAGCTGCTTCTAATTCTTAAACGCATCCATGTTTAACCTATCCAAGTATTTATTTATAAAAATTTTAAAAATATTATCATTATTAGAAAATTAGTTTTTATAATCATGGATTTTGTTTGCCATTTTAAGAATTAATTTACAAATCAATTAATAAGGTACAATTTCGACACAGGGTTGCTAAAAATTATTTATATAAAGTCTTAAATAAAAGTCTATATAAAACTTCCGAATACAAATAAATTAATTAATTAAAATCTTATTTTAAAAAATCTTGTACACTGTTTAAATTATGCAGGTAAATCCCCTATATTGCAACAGTAAACCAAACGAATACGATGGAACACGAGCACATGAAAAACAGAATGTAAACACTCGGTACAATGCTCATCATGCGAGCGCAGAGTCCATGTTCTTTTGCTATCACTTTGCGCGCTTTTTTTAAAATAAAAAATTATTAAGTTTTTAAAGCAATAAAAAAGTTCAAAGAAAGTAACGAAATGACTTAAAATTAAAAGTTACTATTAAAATAGTAACTAAGTTACGTTACAAGTTACTTTCAAAAAAAGTAACTTAGTTACGTTATAAGTCACAAGTAAAGTAACTTTTTCAGTAACTTAATTACTAATAACTATTTGTTTTAATGCATAAAACTTTACATAACAATTTTTAAGACATCTTTTTTCATTATAAATATTTTATTCATTAATTTTCCTTTAATTCAATTCAAGTTATTAAAAACCGGCGAGAAACACATGCGTATTAAAAATTGTAAAGTTGGAAAATAGTATAGACTCTTTATGTTCTCAACAAGACGGTGCAAATAACAACTGACTAGGAATATAGAATTTAATATTCGTCTTTATTTCATTCTCCAGATTTTTCTTGTCCACCACGAGGTTCCCAAACATCCACACATTCTGTTACACACTCCTTACTCTATCATAAGCTGGTATAATCTAATCTAAGTATGACTAATCGTCAATACGAAACCGAATATCGCCACTCCAAGGCTCATTTACATAAGTGGGGGAAAGGGGGTGAGCTTAAGGTGCACCCCACACCCGCCTCTAAGTGATAACGTTAACATAAAAAAATTGAATAATTATTTTTTTATACAAGTATAAATTGGAGTATTTGTAAATGTGTGTTTCTTAGAAAAAATTCTGTCTGGTTACTCGAGTTGGGTAACCCTTTAAGGACCAAATGTACAAAAATTTAACTTAAAGTTTGGCAATTTTTTAAACTAACAAAACTCAATATAAAAAAATTAGCAATATATATTTCTTATGGCCCAGGAACCTCTCTTTCAAATGGAGCATCAGAAAAATCCGTAAATTAAAAAATGAACAAATTACACACAATTATTTAATAAAAAACATAAATTTTCAAGGTTTTCTTTTTACTTTATAATATATTTGGACAATGTACCATTTTATAATATCTTGTCCAGATACAAATATCGCGTCAAAAATGTCTGACCTTTGACATGGTGATCTAGATTTTAAAAAAATCAATATGGCGCAATAATATTCCCAAGTAGCACGATATATCAACCAGATGTCACGGTGATATCACCGGGGAATGTCACCGTGACATCAGTAAAATGTCAAAATGTCCGCCTTACGGTGATATCACACGGTGACATCGAGGTGATATCATGGTGACATCACAGTCATATCACGGTGATATCATGGTGATATCACCGTGATATCATGTTGATATCACCGTGATATCATGTTGATATTTTACAGGGATTTAAAATTTTTAAAAATTATTATTTTTATTATTTTTTTTATTTATTATTATTTTTTAAATTATTAAAAATTTTAAGTCCCTGTGAAATATCAACATGATATCACGGTGATATCACCATGATATCACCGTGATATGACTGTGATATCACCTTGATGTCACCATACTCACTACTCAGAGGTTTTTGGGATCGCTGATTACAAATCAGATATCAGTTTTTTAAATTAAAAATGGCGGATGTAAATGTTAAAAATTCATCGGATCCACTAGAAACTCGTTACTCTGGGGTTTTCGGTATCGCTAATTGCGAATCTGACATCAGTTTTTCAAAATTCAAAACGGCGGATCCAATAAAACGAACTTTTTTTAAAAACTCGTTTGAATGCTCTTGAAACTCACTACTTGAGTTTTTTGGGGTCGCTGATTATGAATATGAGATCAGTTTTTTAAATTAAAAATGGCGGATCCAATATGTCGGATGTCAGATGTTAAGGAATTTATATTGTATTCTATTTGATTACTACGTTCTTTATCCGTCAAATTTATTAAACGTTGTCCAACTCTCACTGCGTAGAGGTAAACGTAGATTAGAGTCTTTTTTAATTTTTAAAAAAATCAACAAAATTTTAAAAAATACTCTCTATTCAACGTTTACCTCCACGCAGTAAGAGTTGGACAACTTTTAATCAATTTAAGGGGTTAAACCACTCTAGAATTTTCAAAAAATCAAAAAAAATTTTTTTGCTTTAAAAGGTGCCTAAGGGTGTATAGAATAAGAAACAATATCAATTATAAGTCGAAACACTTTTTAATTTGGAAGGTCAATTATACGGCGCAGGCATTGCAGATTGAAGGTATATCCAAAAAGTCGTAAGTAAAACTTTAAACTCGTTTTTCTCAAAACTACATTTTTTGTGCTGGCCGGAAATATGACTTTTACAAATCTCAACCGATTTACTTAAAAATTAAACTTTAGCTTCTCAATAACATTATCTAGAGAAAGACGTACGGATTTTTTTTATGTTGCATATTTTTTTTGTTATAAACAATTTAGTGTCAATTTTTTAAGTAAAAAACTCGGTTTTTCCTTAAAATGTTCGCCATTTTTGCAAAAATCAATTGAAAAAAAATCCCCTACGTCTTTCTCTAGCTTTTAAGATGTAAAAATAGAAAGAAATTTGTTTTTTGTTCTAGGATGAAAATTGGAGCTAAAACCTTTCCGGCCGCGCACAGTGGTCTGAAAGCGTTATAAAATTGCCAAAATTTAAGGTTATCAATTAAATTCAAATTTAACTTTATTATTTTCTAAATAAGTAATAGTAATCTTAAATGATATTTAAAATTATTTTTATTAAAGCCAAAACGTTTTAGAACAATTCAAAAGTTATAAATAATTTATAACAATCATGACAGAGTCTTTGCAAAAAGTTGTATTACTTGCAAAGAAGTCCCATTCTTTCAATGTCTTAAATTATTAACCATTTTACAAGTTATTAAAATGCCTTTATGTATTGTATTTTTAATAAATTAATCATTTTCGGATGCAAAACTAGTTTTTATGCAAACTTTTTCTCGGCGAATGAAAGGAAACATTTTTTCGTTTCATCGTACTCCGATGTACCCCACTCAAATAAAGTTTTTCATATATCATTTTACTCCTGAATATATCAATTTTCTAATGTGCTGCTACTTGCTGCTACTTTTTTACCTGGACATAGTTATATTTATTTATATCAAGTAAGACAAATGATTGCTTTTGTCACATTCATCGAAATATAATATATTTCTATCTACCTTTGAATCTTCTTTTGTTTTTTTTCCATATACTCTTATAAACTTTTTTGACATTTATTATTGTTGGTTATAAACATTTATTTTCTTATAAAATACAGTGAATGTATTAAAAAAATGATTATTTATATATTCTATTAATATTTATACTTTCAGAAATTTTTAATTAATTAAAAGTAAGTTTTTTCAAAAATTTTATTCTTTAAATTGCTCAATTTTGGTTTCATAATAATATATGTACAGGTTAATTAAAAGTAATAATATGTAAATGTTAATGTTTTATTAAATATAATGATAATAATTTATTATAATAAATATATTATATTAAATATTTAATTTGCAAATATTCTCAAATGGTCATTTATTATATGTAATTTAAATTGTTTAATAGAAGAACACCTTAGTAACTTTTTAAAAAAAAGGTTTAAAAATATTAAATTTAAAATCCATTTTAAAACTTTAATATTACAATTTTCTATTTCTCAAATTCTATTAATTGTTCATTGTTATTTTTTATAACAGTTTCAGATTTTACGAATGCAAAAACCTTCCTACTAAGAACGTTTGTGTTCAATAATTGAATTTTAAACACTTTTATCCGCCATATTATATCTACTATTTTTTATTTTATTATATTTACTAGAAATGTAGACTCAGCGAACTCAAGAATCTTATTGTGAGCAGTTCCAACCAATCCCCATTATATTTTGAATTTTGGCAGCTTTTCGAGTCCTTCAGACCACTGTGCCGCGACGTGATTCCTCTCAGAAAGGGTTTCTATCACGTACCTGTAAATTTGATATTTTAAAAAAAATAATTAATGAAGTATATTTTTTTTCTTTTTAAAGTTTACCTAATAAAGATATGTAAACATATTTTTCAGTACATTTAAACTTTTCTTGAAAAAAATTTCTAAAGTTAGGCCTTTTTTTGACGCTCTAGAGTGGTTTAACCCCTTAACAGCTAAAGAACGTAGTAAACAAATAGAATACAATATAAATTACTCAACATTAAAAAAATAATGTCAGATTCATAATCAGTGACCCAAAAAACCCCCGAGTACTGAGTTTCAAGAGAATTCAAACGATTTTAAAAAAAGTCCGCCATATTGGATCCGCCAATTTGGATTTTTCGAAATGTACCTCAGATATATATTGCCAATTTTTTAATATTGAGTTTTGTTAGTTTAAAAAATTGCCAAGCTTTAAGTTAAATTTTTGTACATTTGGTCCTTAAATAGTAAACTAATTTTTAAATCAAAGAAAAATGTAAAAATTATTTTTATTATACAAGTTTCCACTTTATTCTACAAAATTAGACTACTAGCTGTCCAACAGTGATAAAACATTATTTTGTGTATCTAAATAAAAATTCTAAACTTATTTTAAATTAACAATTTTTTCCAACCTTCCAACGAAAAGTGTAAAAAATGTATGATAGGCCACTTTATTCTTTACAGGTTAACCCACCAATTTTTTTCGTTTGCTTGTAGCAACTCCTTGATATTTTTAATGGTTTTTCAACTCATTATATTTAACTGTTTTTGCTCTTTTTTGTTTAATGTGAGTTATATTTTTTTTAAATACGAGAACCAACAGATCAAAAAAGGTTGTACAAATTGCATGTAATTTTTTTTATTCCTTTTCTGTTTCCAAGTTATATAAGCCACACAGTCTATTAGCAGGGACAGCTGTTTCTGAAAAAAGAGAAACAAATAAATCGTAAATATTGGAATATCTAAAACCTGTTTATTTTTGAAATCATATATCTTCTTTTAAATATAAGTTAAGAAAAATTTCTAATAGCGATACCGAAAATTTAATTTAATATTTATTTTATTTACCCGCTGTTCAAACACGGTAGACTTAAAGCAACTATAGGTTGCATGAAAATGAGGAAAAAAGTGGAAACGCTATTGTTTTCAGGGTTGATCATACATAAAAAAATGCTTGAATTGAAATCACAACTGATTTTTTTTGAAAATATCTATATTTCTTATTTTTAAATCGAGTAATTCTTTCAATTAACAATCTTAGTGCAAATAACGATCCTATGATATATAATCTTCTGTTTCCTTCAGGTGATATAGGATTGACGGTAAACATCAAGCAAACTGTTGGGGTTTGCAATGTTACTCCATTATAATTTTATATGTATCGTCTTGCATATAGAGGAAATTTTAATCCATCTTTAAAATTAGGAAAGTTAACTTTATCACCATGACGTATAGGGGAGACCGGGGCTGTTTGGCGCAGAGGTTGCTTGGCGCACTTGAGTTTATTCAAAAGTGTTAAGTTACATTAATTTTTCTCTTTATTCTACTTAAAGTACTTGATGAACTGTAAGTTTGTACAAAATTTCATTAATATTTATTAATTATTGTGGAGTATAGATTAAAATAACTGATTTTGGCACTCCAAAGTAATTTTTTAACCTCTTCATTTTTTTGTGATATCTCTTTATAAAATTAATTTTAGAAGAGCTCAAATATTAAGTTTTGAGATCTATACATTTGTTATTAAGAAAAAAAAACAATTTTTTGATTTATATTAACAGTTTTTATAAAAAATTAATAAATATTTCAAAAGTACATTCGGGGTTAGGTGGCGCGCTTATCTGAAAATTTCGTTAAATATTAATAAAATGAAGTTGATTATATGAAATTTACACATTAATAAGCACCAATAACAATCATATTCAAAAAATTTAACCCAATAATAGTTTTTAAATTTTCACAGCGCTATTATAAAAAGAAAATATTTTTTGGTAATTTTAAGATTTCATTTAATTTAAATGAAATTTTCTAATTTTTAAATTTAAAATAATTTTATTGTAAAATTACAGTACAAGACTTATTTTGTTAATTCTTATATTATAATATTTAAACTTTAAATCATATAATTTAATTAATTTCACTCTTGCGCCACGCAACCCCAGGCCGGCGCGTTTTGCACAGCTTCAAATAAAGTGGTATAAAAATAAAAGTATTAAATGTAATTCAACTTTCTTTTTTTTAATTAAAGCTGATATGTTACAACAAGTTTTCTATACATTAACTTTTTAAAAAAAGCAAAAATGAGTGAGTTACACAACAAAGAGTAAAAAGTACGCCAAGTAAGCCCGGTCTCCCCTAATCCAAAATGGCACCAGTTATGGCATTTGTATATGTAATAGAATTTCAAAAACGTGGATTGCCGCATGTGCAATTAACTATATTTTTACATACACCAATTCGCGATGCAGAAACATTAGATATAATGATATGTGCAGAAATCCCAGATGAAGCTAAGAATCACAAACTTTTTAATACTGTAAAGAAGTTTCACGTTCATTGGCCTTGTGGAAAACAAAACATGAATTCACCTTACATAGATCCTCCGAAGAAAGTTAAATTAATTAATTTAAAAACGTAAAGTTAAAATGAGAAGAAAGGTCGAAATGACCGTAGAATGACGGTAAAAACTAGTTGGGTTGTTTCAGGTAAAGAAACTGTAAAAACGATAAAGGTCCCTGACACAGCGGGAGACTAATGTTGGTACCCAGCAGGGAGGTTTACCCAAAAATAAAAAAATCACATTTTGCGACAAAGAGAAAACACAAATAGAGATAACACGAAACATATTTAATAAACAGGAAAAAGAAAAGATAAATCAAACTAACAATTACAGAAAATTAGGCCAAGTGAGATTTCGGGCAGATAAATATTATGTTCAATCAGAATTAGGTTATTTTAAGATTAGGCCGAATGAGAATTAGGACAAATGACGATTAGTACAAATGAAGATTAGATTGAATGACGATTAGGGCAAATAAGAATTAGGTCATATGCAGATTACGGCAAGTAATAGTTAGTCCATACGACATTTAGGCCAATTGAATTTAGGTCAATTAAGTGTTAGGCCTTTTGAAATTTAGAGAAAACCCATGCGCCTTGTCCAAAAAATGTCGAAATATATTTTTTATGTACGTGGTGCTGAATCGTTTAAAGATGTAAGAACATATGAAGGAATTACGTACAATACTTTCACAGATGATAGTGAATGGGATAATTATTTGATTGAAGCTGTGAGCATGAACCTATAGAACTTTTTCGTCTATTTGCATATACATATGTGCGTGTGCTTATGGGGTTTTTCGAATATTGACATATTATGGTCATTATTCATTTCATATTGAGACGTTTAGCAGTGAAGTTTGTAATATTTTTTCTTTCTTTAAATTAAAGGTAATTAATTTTCAAAACAACCGTCTATAGAATATTTTTCAATCCGACCATCGCTTTAAACGCCCAGATAACAATTGTGCGACACACTTACGCACTTGACACTTTTTTGAAAATCAAAACTTTTTTGACTTTTTTTTAAGTTCGTTTTTGTTTTTATTTATTTTTTGATAGTTAAAAATGTGTATTTCACCACAAATATATAGTGATGTCCTTTTTTGCTATTTTCAAGATATTAATTAATTAATTAATGTTAATAAAAAATAAAATATTTAACAAATAAATAATGTTATTGCAATTCTGAAGCTACCAATTGAAAAATGACGTAATTCCGCATATAAACAGCTCTATATGACATATTTATGATTAGAGTATTTTTTAGAAACAATTGCAATGTTAGTCAATTGTTTATTAAATTTTGACAATTTCGACATACATGTTTTCTAAAGGTTTTTTTGTGCTCTTTCAATTGGTGAAAAAAAATTCAAAATTTTACCCCATTTTTTAAAAATCAAAAATTTATTTGACTTCTTTTCAAAAACGGTTTTTTTTATTTTTCAATTTTTTTTAAAAAAGTTTTAAACGTATACTTTCAACACATGAAATATGGAAATTAGTGTTTATAATAAATACTCTAATCCAAAATAATTCATATAGAGCTGTTTGGATACGGAGTTACGTCAGTTTTCAATTAGTAGCTTCAGAATTACAATAACATTATTTAATTGTAAAATATTTCATTTTTTATTAACATAAATTAATTAATTAATATCTTGAAAATAACCAAAAAGGATAATCTCTATATTTTTTGTGGTGAAAATACACATTTTTAACTTTCAAAAAAAAAAATTTGTAAAAAGACAGAACTTAAAAAAAAGTCAAAAAATTTTTTGATTTTCAATAGTGGATCAAATTTTGAAATTTTTTTACACCATTCGAAAGAGCAGAAAAAAACCTTTCGAAAACATGTAGGTGAAACTTTGTTTCATCTTTCTTTTATGTTTAAAAGGTACAAGTCTTCAAAAATTAACTGTTTAAATTTTTCAAAAAAATTCAACCTCCTTTCTCTTCTATAGTTTTTGAAAAAACCTTACAATACTAAGTGGTTATAGTACTCACCCCTAGGGGTAAACTATGTGCAAGTTGCAGCCCAATTCGATCAAATTTTTTTTAACTTAGTACACTGCAGGAACTTTAATTTTTATATATCTCGGAAAAATTAGTAGTTACGATTTAGGTCAAAGCATCATTTTCATCGTAAAGGTAAGCAAAAACATAAAAAATGTTCACAAATTTACCACCATGAAAGTCAATAATATCGTCCTTCCTGCACGGTGTACTTTGTATTAATATTTTAATAAATATTTTTTTTTATTTTTTAATATTTGTGACCTGGACAGTTAAAAGGGACCTTTTGTCCGAAAAAATTAATTTTTTATTGATTGGTGATTCTGATAGAAAAAAGTTTTCTCTATCAGAATCACCAATCAATAAAAAATCGATTTTTTCGGACAAAAGGTCCCTTTTAACTGTCCAGGTCACATTTTTCTAACATTGTTTGAAAAAATTGCTGAAGTCAATAAATCGATTAAAGTTATAGTTATAAACTACTAATTTTTTTCAGGTTCAAACAAATTTCATGAAATATTTTTAATATTTAACTTAATTATAATACTTTACATAATTTTTTATTTAATTTAATGTTTGAAATAAAAAACATTAAAAAAAATTATTTACGTTTATTTACTTTTATTTGATACAACTAAAATACAAAAAAAGCGAGTTGTCAGCGTACTTTTATAGTTGTTGCACTTTTGTGAAATTCTTTTTTTTGTAAAATGCTTTTATAAAATACTTTTGTAAAATACTTTTGTGAAATACTTTTGCGAATTACTTTTGTAATTGTGTACAAATATTTTTAAATAATATATTTTTTACAATTTTTACTAATTATAGAGCGTGGCCCCGTGGTTAGCGTTGTAGGTTTGCGAGTGTTAGGTCGTGGGTTCGGTGCCCAGTGCGAGCGAGATTTTTCAAATTAGATTAGGTGTTATTTCCACAGGTGTTGTTAATTAATCTTAAGTGATGAAACAAAAATAGTAAAAAACTTCGGATTAAATTAATTAAATAATAATAATTTTTTTTGAAATTACTAATGGGTAAGTCCACGACAGAAATATCAGAATCTGCAAGTGGTTCTTCGATTTTAATGATACTTGGTAAAATTATAGCTTCCCAGATAAGCAGGGTAGTAGTACGATGCAAGTACAATACGAGTACGGCGTACTAAGCGTACTAGTACTGTACCCGCCATCTACCTCCGTAGGGTACCAGGTACTGTACTGGTACGTCGTATTATTACGCTGTACTGGTACAATACTAGTACTATCAAAGTATGACGTACTAAAAGACTTTAATAATTCAGTATATCGTACGGTTATTCTACTCGTACAATACTAGTATGATGTACAATA